AAGAACCGAATAAGGAAACCAATGACACTCATAGCTTACTGAAGTGACTGAAATTCCTCAGGATCTGCTGCTGCCTTGAATGTCTCCTGAAGTGTACTTAGGAAGGGTCTTACAATGGGGAGCCTATATGTGTTTGCTGGGCGGTAAGGTTTCACTATAGAAACCATAGAATTAAAGAGATATTTACTTTGTAGTAGCTGTCCACTACAGTGACCACTACGCACCAGAGGGTTAAACAGAGCACAGAGAGAAGTAGGGAGAGGTGCAGATTTAAAGGGGAAACAGATTTACTGAGACATGCAACATGCAATAAAATATATCTCCAAGTTTACCAGAAAGTTTACAAGAAGAAAATATGCTATGCTATATTTCAAATGCAGCATATCCATATTTTTCTAGATGGATGGAATGGAAATTGTACTTCTAGGAATGCATGATATATCGATGTTGGCATCGGAATCGGCTGTTATTCATTATTTTTTTATACATGAATTTTTTGGGGGCCATGTATATATAAGGCACCAAAAGGCATCCTTTTATCTATAAATATCAGTGTATTATGTTTCTCTTGTGTTCTCAGCAATAGGTAAGCATTCATAAATATATGTTTGAGCTCATTTTTGGAAAATACAGAAACCTAATGAAAGCATTCGGGTCGAGTAACTGTAGATCCATCAGCCCCCACCCTTAGAGCGCCCCCACCAACTTTCCTCACAAAGTTACACCCTTGAGGTGCAGTAATGTGTTACCTTTGGTTTGTCAGCAAAGCCACACCTCAGCAGCGCCTTCAAACGCCTGGAAAAAAAAAATCTTTATCTGCCACTTAAAAGCTGCAAACTTTGTCCCATTCTCTCAGCCAACCTTCTCATCTGTTTCCTTCCTTACATCCCTCAACTCTGTGTAGCATCCTTTCTCCACACTCACTTTTACTTCAATTACAATCTACTATCTAGAGTTGCAAAACTGTTATATTAAAACATACTTATCTCAATGTCTCCTTTCTTTATTAAAAAACACCTGAGGAATTGCTGATAGTGATCAGTATTCAAAGTGGAGAAACTGCTTCACTAAGCAAGGAAAACGGTTGGTTTTACACCACTGGATACCGCTGCATTAAAGGCACAGGCAGGGAATCATCCAGTTCTGTTAGCAGCAGGAGATAGGTCTTCTCCTTGAGAGGAACAAAACCTATAATAATAAAAGTATGTAAATGGGTGCATCATCTGCATATTATTGACTTCCACATTTTCTTTTGATTATGTGAGCACACCAAGAAAAGCAATACTTCAAAACATAAATTAATGAAATGTCACAAAGTTTACTTTTTATTTAATATGAACCATGTGAGAGAATATCAATAAAATTCATATTTAGCAGGGAAAACGGTTGTACTGTTAACTTTACAACATAGGGTACCTCTGCTTTATAGAAACAAACAGGGAATTATCGGGTTCTGTTACCAGAAGGAGAGAAATGCTCTATTTGAGCAGAGCAGAACCTATAACAATGAAAGTAAATAAATAAGTGCATCATCTGCATATAAAGTGACTGCTGCATTTGTTTTACTATAAAGGCAAAATAAGAACAGCATCGTTTCTGAAACATAACCTTAATGAAACCCTAAGTAGAGACATTTCTTTTTGTGAATAAGATGATATCTTCATGTATCAGTCATGAGTTTCTTATCCTTACATTCAGTTTGGTTTTATGAGCTCAGTGGAAAATCAATCCATGTATGAATCTGCTAAGCGTTTCAGTGATTCCAGCGAATTGATTTGGTGCTAAAAAGCATCAGAAGATAAAAATCACAGAAACATTTGTTCTGATTAAAGTTTATTTTATGGATTTCAAAAAGATACAAATGTAGCCAAGCACATTTTGATGATCAGTTATTGGTTGTTTCTTGTTTTAGCTTCCCAACGTTAGACAAACGATCTCAATCAGCACAGCTTCAAACCTAATCATAATGTGTTTAAACTATCTTTGGTTTTTTTGGTGATTTGAGTCCCTGATGATTCAGCTGGAGGCGTTTTACCTCTGAAATCAAACTGCTTCTGAAAGAGGAAAGTTGTGCTGCTGATTCAGCACCTAAACTTTATTAGAAGAGTGTTTTTGTGGTTTTATTCGGGTCAGTTGGTCACAAAAGGAGAAGTTCTTACAGTCAAAAGGCTGAGAGCTGCTGTTATTCTGCTCCTGTCATTGGTTCAGCCTTGTTTCATAACACTGCCTTTCAGAGAAAGAATCGAAAATGGCCATGTTTAAAGATCAGTTTCGTAAAAAAAATAATTTCAGGGATTGAAATGTGGACACCTCTAAGTTTTCTCTCAGAAATTAGTTCTAGGTTTCAATTATAGATCAATGGACAAACAGATAATTTGTGGATCAATGAAATCTCTTGATTTTCAGTGTGTTAACCAGGCAAAAGAAATAGAACCTATCTTTCATTTTTATCATTATCATCAAATATAATTAAACATTTTTTGATAGTTATTTAAGAAGACGACTTGTAATACTTTAATTATAACTTTAAAATGACATCATTTCAACATGACAGACCCAGGGAATTGAAAACTTAACTTTGAAGTACTTCCTTTGGCTCCATATTCTTTGGTCTAACTATATGAGAAAGTACCTCGGCTGACAGGCCGCTGATTTTCCTTCTTCCTTTTGCATCGGTCTCCATTTGTAGGTCTGGTTTTTCAACATTAAAGTTACTCAAAACAAACCAACAGTACTTTTTCCTTGTGGACAATAACATTTCTAACCACCTACTACACACTTAAGAGATTTGAATTGTTTTGTATTCTTATCATCAATGGTGAGAAAACATGATTTTTCTATGTAAAAACAGTAATAATCACTGAATAGGGATCAAAAAAACATGACAAGGTTATTTTTCTTTAGATTTAAAATAATTTCTGTAAAAGTGGTCCTTCATCATTTGTTACAAAACATTCAGATACTTTAAAGTCGAAAAGTTTCATTTTTACACCCAAATCTAAGCACATTATTTAGCTATCAGTCTGAAAAACTGTCTGCCAGAAGGAAAAACCTTAGAAATTAAAACTGGACCTGGAGTTTTATCTACCTATCTGTCTGTCTCCTTCCGTATGTAAAGTCATGTGAATAAATTCCAACTGGTGAGGAAATGTACAGGATGGAAGATGGAGATACAAAATAATGATTCACTGGAGTCAAACATCAGACGTCCTGTTAGGAGTCAGAACCTTCAGGGTTCTGCAGGTTTTGGTCTACTAAATGTGGACTGATGGCTGTTGGATCAATCTAATACAGCTTCCCCTAACCTTTATCAACATTTAACATCTTCTAACAGAGTTCTAAAACTGGCATTACCTAAGGGAACCAACACCAGATGGATGGATGGATGGATGGATGGATGGATGGATGGATGGATGGATGGATGGATGGATGGATGGATGGATGGATGGATGGATGGATGGATGGATGGATGGATGGATGGATGGATGGATGGATGGATGAAAAAAATCATCTGTTTAAACGTTCTGTTGGTTTATCTTATAACGTGATTCGTTCTCATTTAATTTACAAATGCCAATTATCAAAAATAACTGAAGTCACTTCAAGAATTAATTTCTAAACGGTTATTCACTTATTAAAATCCACCTAAAGAATTCAGCCTTGAATGGAAAAACGTATTGCACCCCTTTGATGTTATGTCTTAAAGCAGCTGTGTTAGCTGCATCTTCTGAAAGATGGACCAAGCTTCACAAAACACAACCAGGTCTAATGACCACCGGACTAACAGAACCCAAAGATCCCTGAAATTGGACCTGTCTGACAACACGAAGCAGGTTAAGATATCACCAAATATCATCTAATAATGAGGTTCAAGATCAGATGAGAAACAAGAACATCGCTGACCTTCAAAATGGATTTCCCAGTCAGAACCAGGATCCATTCATCCATAGAACATAACCTTACTGCAGAGGCCGACTAACCAACATTACTCCAGGAGTTCATTAGGACTCATCTGGAAGGAGAACAACATCAAGGCTCTACAGGCCTCAGTTAAGGTCAGAGGTCATAGTTCAACAATAACAGAGAGAGAGTGGAACGTTCTACAACCAGAACAATTGCTAACCCCAAAGAACACCTACATTTTATTAAGACACCATTGCACCTCCAGTCAAACATGGCAGTGGTAGTATGATGATCTGGGCTGCTTTTCCTGCTTCAGGACCTCCTGTGATTGAAGGAATCTCTGGCAGGAAATGCTGAAGATGACCTGAAGATGAAGCTCACCTCGGTTCTACAGGAGCACAGTTATCCAAAGAACATCTTCATCTCAGAGAGACTGAAACGGTAAAACAGTGAGACAGGTTTGGAGAGGCCTAGTCAAAGTTTGGATTCAATCTAATTGAGATGCTGACGCTGATTGAGGCAGATCCTTTCTGACACAAACAGGTGGGCTTGGATTGATTTTTCCTCATAATTCCTAAAAATCTTATTTTGAAGTCATTTTTTGTCTCATTTTACCAACAGTTTTAGAATGTGAATTCGTTTTCTCAGGACTGTGGATAGTTTATCTTTCTTAGGAGCCGGTTCTGGTCCGGTTTTTGGCTCTTGTCTGTTTAGGTTCTCTGATGAACTCCCTACCAGCAGCAGTGAGTTCTTAGTGAGAAGACTTCCTGCCTGTCTCGTCCTGTGGGGGTTGTGTTTATCTGAGCAGGAACATCAGAGGAACCTGCAGCATGCGGAGCTGCAGAAAGCATGAGCCAGTGGTTCTGATGAAACACCTGCAACCGGGATCAGTGCCACCCAGTCATGTGTGAAGTGTATTTTTTCGGAATCTTGAAGTTTTGGATCTTTTGGAGAAACTCAAGTCCCTTCAGAAAGCAGAGCTTTAACTCAGCTTTGAAACGTTTGTTAAATCTACTCTCCAGTATGTCCCTACCTTACAGTCAGCTCAAGACTCACACAGAACCACAGATGCAGAATGAAGCTGCTGCTCTTCTTACCTTTTCACAGAGAAACAGCAAAACAACCAGGACGTCCTGTCAGATCAGAATCATCTCTGAGTCCAGTCAGGTGTATGTTCTTCTCAGATTGCCCCAGATGTTCCTGCAGGTTAATGGAAAGCCTGGTTCCTTCTTCTTTAGCTCCAGTGTGCCAGATCCTGCTAAATTCCTCCAGATTCTGCAGGTGGTTCCACGGCCTCCTTCTAGTTCTGCAGGGTTCTGTGAGGTTCCACAGCTCTGTGCGTTAAATGTGTTCCTTTCTGGATCTCCTGGTATCTCTCGTGGCTGAGCTCCCTGTGAGCTCTGCTCCTTGTTTCCTGTTTGTTTTATTTTGTTGCTGCAGCAGGAAATGGTCATCTTTTCCCTTTCCTGTCCAAGAAACCCCCTGCCACCCCCCACCCCCCCCCCCCACCACACACACACAAGAACACACCTACACATACACACACATGCATGCAGTTGGTAAGACCAATTAACTGACTCATTGACAGGGTCTCTAACTCTTGAAACTTTCCCAGCAATAATTTCTTCTGAAACCTTCTAAAAGTCAGAATGTGGACAGATAGACGCTGCGCTGTCCTACTGTAGCTTCAGTAGGACAGACTGTCAAAAAGTCCACTTTCAGTCCGACATCAATCTTTAAACAGCTCTATCACACAAGGTGCTGAACTTAACCTGTTCTTCATGCAAAAGGGACGAGAAGAAAGTTTCAGTTCGCTGAGTCGTGTAGCAGGCCTAGTGCTTGTAGTAGAAGGTGCATTGATTAAACTCTGTGAACGATATGTAAAATACTTTACACAAAAAACTTGCTGTTGTCTAAGTCTAAGTGAACACTTCTGTACAGTGAAGCATGGTGTTGGCAGCATGATGGTGTTGAAAGCTGATGCTGTTTCTGGGCTTCAGTTCAGCTTTCAACACCATCATCCCACAGGATCTGATGGGAAAACTGGAACAGCTGGGCTTAAATACACCCCTCTGCAACTGGCTGCTAGACTTCCTCACAGAGAGACCTCAGTCAGTCTGGGTTGGACAGAACACCTCTGATGTCATCACCCTGACCACAGGCTCCCTTCAGGGCTGCGTCCTGAGCCCTATGCTCTTTACTCTGATGACACATGACTGCATCCCGAGGTTCGCCACCAATCACATTGTGAAGTTTGCAGACGACACCACGGCGGTGTGACGACAACGACCTGGACTACAGAGAGGAGGTGGAGCAGCTGGTGGAAAGGTGCAAAGATAACAGCCTGATCCTGAACATGGGGAAGACGAAGGAGATCATCGTTGACGTCAGGAAGAACCGTCCTAACCACACTCCACTGGTCATCAACGGCTCAGCTGTAGAGGTGGTCAGCAGAACCAAATTCCCAGACACCCTCAGCTGGGCCGTAAACACCACCTCACTGGTCAAAAGGGCTCAGAAGCCCACCTGCCCCCACCCTTCCTCACCATCTTCTACAGAAGCACCATAGAGAGCGTTCTGACCAGCTGTCTGACTGTGTGGTGTGGAGGCTGCAGCGCCTCAGACTGGAAGAAGGTGAGGAGAGTGGTGAGAACAGCAGAGAGAATCATCAGGGCTTTTCTTCCATCCATTAAGGACATTTCCTCCCAGCGCTGCGTGTCCCAAGCCTGTAACATCATCAACGACCCCTCACCGCCCCACCATGGACTGTTCTCTCTGCTGCCCTCTGGGAAGACGCTTCACAGCACCGCCATCAGACAGCTGAACTGTTGAGAAAACTCTAAATCCCGTCAGACTTTGCATCAAACTGACAACACCAAACCAAAACACTGCATATTTGCACCATATCTATTTAATGCTTTGAACTTCCATATCAATGCCCCTTTTTTTTCTCCCACACAGTATACATTTGATCACTGCTACACTTTAAGGAAAGGAAATTTCACAAAAGCTTTACAAAACGACATAAAAGTTGTCTAAGTCAAAGTGAACACATCCATTCCAAGAAGCATGGTGGTGGCAGCATCATGCTGTAAGGATGCCTTTTTTAGCAGGAAGGAGCTAAACATCAAGCCAAAAAAGTTATGTCTTAGATCAGAGCAGAAGGGTCAGAAGGGCCAAGTTAAAACTCTGACCTGAATTTATTTGAATATATGGCAGGACTCAAAAACAGAAGTTCGCAGATGTTCTCCATATGATATATGGAAGTATATGAGGAAGTTTAATTCTGCAGCCAGACTCACAGGGGCTGAAGAGAAATTCACACCAAACCTCCCAGATGTTTATCAGTAGGAGTTGTTGAAACCCATGTATAGGTTTCCTTCTATTTCATGATTAGGCAAAACTTTACGTTGGTCCGTCTCATGAAACCTATTCAGATTTGCAGTTATAACAAGAAAAAACATTAAAAAACTATGGGATGTTGACTCTTTGTCAATGTGCTGTAGTTTTGCCAAAATCCTCACTAAATCCCAAATTCCTGCTGCTTAATCACACAGGATTCCTTTATTCTTCTAATTATGTGGCCTACATGCTTATGTTATAGTCAGACCAAACAGACCAAGAACTACAGAGAAAAGGCCAAGAAATTTAGAGCCCGAGACCAAGACATAACCAAAACTAAGGTCTTGGTACTCCTTGGTCTCGGTTGGTGTGGTCTTGGGTAAAATACTACCGCATACCAGGATCTGTACCGCTGGTCCTGATAAGAACCCGATCCACACAGATAACAATGCAGAATCCTCCCCTTTTCCTCCTCATTGGCCAGGAGCTACAGCTGATCCAGAGGCAGAAGGTGGGCTATGAATTAAAGAATGTGAAGAACAGAGCGACCTACTCCTTCTGCAGAAAGTATCTGTTAGTCGCTGAATTAATGCATGTTCCTGTTTTCATGTGATAAAAGATTGAAACAAAAACACACTCCTTTCCTCTTGGTGTGTCCTTTGGGGTGGTGGCTGGATTAGATTTCCCTCCATTAAAACCTGATGAGAGATTTCTGGAGCCTTCAGCCGCATGGACCTTCGTCCTGCTGCTACAAACTGCAGGTCTGCAGGAACCGACTGAGAAACGAGAAAGGAAAATGCCTCTTTCCGTCATCTCTTTAAAACACGGTTTAACACTGACTGCGTTCTCCAGCATATTGTCTTTTGGCAGCTCGACTCGTTTACATTAACTCCAAGATTTTAGACTGAATGCAATGTCTGAAAACTGTGTGATGAATGCATAACAAAATAAAAACTTGTAAAGTCCCTTTTGCTCCTAAATGTGATTTAACCAAACACTGAAACTTTTTGGAAATGTTTTATTTTTCTTGCTGCTTCAATCACTCTGATATACAGAGAACAGTGTGGTGAGGTTTGAGGCCAAACTTATAGGGGTTCAGGAATCTGCACTTTGTTTCCCTCACTGCAGAGATGACGGACAAGCAGACGAGACCATACAGGAGCTCTTATCCATTAGGCTGTTTGCAGATGATGTTGTGATATTCGGTTAGCAATAAGAGGATGAATTAGAAAGATGAGCTTAAAAAAGTTCAGACTAGGCAACTGGACGTGAAGTTTTCTAGAAGATGTTTCACCTCTCATCAAAGAGGCCTCTTCAGTTCTAACCAGTGGTACACTGGAAAAACAATCTAGAAATAAGTAAGAAATTCTTAAATTAAGATTATTTACCCTTAATTTGAGTAGGTAAATTAGATGATTTGCCAATTCAATGAGTATTTTAACTCTTAAAATAGGATAATTATATACAATGCACTTGAAATAAGACAATGTAATTGTGTTTTCTTATTTTAAATGTAAATTGTCTTGTTCCATTGGCAAAATGTCTCTTTTTTCACTTTCTCAATTCGAGAACAAATGCACTTATTTTAAGAAAAAAGGACTTATCTAGATTTTGATTTTTTCCAGTGTAGGGACCACTGACACTGTAGGTGTCAGTATTACACCTACAGTAACTGAAGAATTGTTAGTTAAATCTCTATCGTTTTGCTCTCTCTGCTTTTCTCATAGTAGCTTCGCCTCGTTTGTTCCTGCTTAGCTGTGACTCCATCCTGGAGAGAAATATCAGCTGTGCTGCTGCCATCAATACCTTTGTTTATAGATGTTTGAGATTGGCTGGTTTTTCAGTGTAGTCCTGTTTCTCTGACCGTGATTGGGTGGATGTGCTCTCTTTGTCCTCTGGCATTGGAGCTGGCTCGGAGCTCGTCTGCCTGGCTGTGTGTTTCCTGGACGGGGTCGCCTTTTATAGCTGCTTTATGTATCTCTGCTTCTGTCTCCTTTAATCCCAGTCGGCCTCGGCAGATGGCCGCTCACACTGAGCCTGGTTCTGCTGGAGGTTTCTTCCTGTTAAAGGGAGTTTTTCCTCTCCACTGTCGCTACAAGCATGCTTAGTGTGAGGGATTGCATCTGAGTCAATGAGTCGATGTAATCAACTGGTTTTCCTTAGATGGAAACTTTGAATCAATTTGACTGTATGATCTGGTGAACTGTAAAGTGCCTTGAGATGACATGTGTTGTGAATTGGCGCTATAGAAATAAACTGAATTGAATTGAACTGAAGAAGCCTCTTGGATGAGAGGCGAAATGTCTTCTAGAAAACTGCATATACAGTTGCCAAGACTGAACTTTTTCAAGCCTGACCATGACCTGGAAGACTGACCATCTTCACTAATAAATTAGAAAGATAAGAAAGTCATTTGTGGGAATCAAGGGGATGTTGCAAAGATAGGAAATCTTGTTAAAGATGGTTAAAGATGATAGAACTAAAGGACTGTAAAGGATGAGATTGAAGATGTTAAAATTTCGATTAAAAAAGGGCAAAAGTAGACAAATACAGAACAAATACACAACATCTTGTGTGTTTTAAGCGGATGTTGGATACAGAGCCGAGAAACAGAAGAAACTACATTGAAGTTTCATGGAAACAGTGGAGTAGGATCTGTAGAGCGCTGGATTGAGCAACCATGTAGCACTGTATTTTTTTTATTTGACTTTTTGTTCATCCACACAAAAACAATAAAAGAAAAAGAAATTCAATGCAAACAATGACACTGATATATATTCATAAACCAGTCTAAATACAAACCCTTGTACCCTGCATGGTTTATACATTTTCCAGTAGGATCATAGATCATTATCTGCTACCATCTGGTGACCAGAATGCCAAACTACAGAACATCTAAATTAAAAAGACAAACAGAAGTTTAAAGTGAAAAACTATAAATCACAGATATCGGTTCCTAAATTTACTTTTCACAATAAATAAAGGAGCTGCAGTTGTTCCTACAGCTGTTCCTCAGTCTTTGCCTACTGATTTAAATGTTCATGGCATTAACAGGCTTCTGTAGAAATGTATCCTGTATTGAGTATATATGGTATAATAAAAGCATGTGTAAGTGAAGAAGGGACATTTAATGCCTATTTAATGCCTACAGGGCTCCATCTGGATTTGAAGGAGATGGTTCTCGGTTCTGCAGTCGGATCAGCCGGGATCAGACATAAGCTTTGGAGCTGCTGCTTTCAGAGGCTGGAGCTGCTTTGTAGATGCTCTGACCTCCGCTGGTGTTGGAGTAGTAGGAAAACTGCCTGCAGGAGAGCAGATGGGGTATCAGAGGACAGAAGAGGCATGGAGATGAAAGGGGCTTCCTTTCCTTTGAGCCCCTGGGTTCACCATCTCAGGGTAAAGGGAAAACCTCCAGCCTTCTTTTACAGACATGCAGGGGTGTTACAGTGCCCTCATGTGGACACAGCTAAGTATTGCATTCAGTGAGTTTACCTTGCAGGGGGGGTGGAGGAGCTCCTCCTACAGCTGCAGCAGAGCAGAGATCCCCCCAGTATGGCCAGGCTGGAGGAGGTCCAGCCCAGGTATAGACCAGTTCCCAGCTCAAACCTGCAGCACAAACACACACAGTTACAAACAGCAGACACACACAGGAACAGACAGCCCTGCAGGACACTGACTTCAGGCCACCATGGAACGGGTCGTGGAAGTCGTTGATGACTCTTGCAGCATACCAGGAGACTGCAGTCAGGGTGAAGACACCTGAAAAACAGGACAAAAAACAGAACTGAGGCTTCTTTTCTTTAGATGTTTCCTCTCATTCATCCTGACACTGTCCAGCCCTTCAGTCTCTAGGGATCTCGTACCAGAGAGGATGAACAGGATGCCTCCACTCAGGGCGATCTGCTCCTTGACCTTCTCAGACGTCCTGCCGATCTTTGTGCACTTGAGTCCGAGCACAGAGATGATGATGGAGGCCAGGCCGATGATCAAGGACATGATCATCAGAGCTCTGCAGGCCTGGAGATGACCTGCAGACGCACACAGGAGTCTTTATTATGAGGCTTATTATGGAAGAGAGAGCAGCTGTAAGCATGCAGAGATCTGACCAACAGCAGAGGAGAACATGCTTTAGTTTGGCTGTCTTCTGTTCTACCGCACAGACCCCATCATTGATGGAGCAATAATGATAATTATGCTTTTAAAGTCTTCATTGTAATTCTAGGAGGTCAGTGTTAGAACCTAGAACTTTAAAATAGCAAGTTATAGAACATTAACAGGACATTCCAGAGTCCATTTTAAAGTTTTCTTTCAGAGCCTCCATACTAGATGTAAGAAACCTTTATAAATAGAGGTTATCACATTTATTATGCTTTAAAAGCCAATTAATAGAGTTTTCAGAGCTTTGTTGAAGTCTAAGAGCTGTAATAAAACTTTCAGAACTTTCATTGAATCTTTTAAAGCAATCGTTTAATATTTAGGAGAGATGAGGCTGTAGAACCTCTGGATTACATTGAAAATTCCTCATTTATAAATAAAATGCTTCAGAACATTTTTAGTTTGTTTTATCTACAGTTTGAACAACTTTTTTTTAAACAAAGTTTTGCAATGGTAATAAGTTTATAATAATCAATTGCAGCAGTGACATGTACGGCAAGCTAAAAGTGCCACATATTCAGTATACTTAGTGGTGATATTTTTATTAATTAATATCAAAATATCAATGTTGTTTTGGTAAACATGAAACAACTTTATATTTTTTTATTATGCTAAATAAATCATAATTTATTTATTGAAGTTATTAACTATTAAATACAAAACGTTTATTCATGACCTTTTATTGTTTTTTTTGTCTTTTGCTTATATATATATATATATATATATATATATATATATATATATATATATATATATATATATATATATATATATATATATATATATATATATATATATATATATATATTTATATATATAACAACCCCTGGTAGTAGTTAACAGTTAGCGTTAGCTTTTTTTCTGATTTGTGTTTGGGAAACTAATATTTTCATTATCAAATGATGTGTTAAAAAAGCTGTTCTTTGTTTTGCTGCAACCATCACTGTTTTGTTTTTGTTTGGTTTATATCAAGTTTATAATAATCAATTGCAGCAGTGACATGTACGGAAAGCTAAAAGTGCCAAATATTCAATATACTTAGTGGTGATATTTCCATTAATAAATATCAAAATATCAATATTGTTTTGGTAAATATGAAACAACTTTATATGTTTTACATATCGTTTATTCATGGCCTTTTATTGTTTTTTTTTATCTTTTGCTTACATATATATATGTATATATATATATATATATATATATATATATATATATATATATATAAAACCTCTGGTAGTAGTTAACAGTTAGCTTTTTTCTGATTAGTGTTTGGGAAACTAATATTTTCGTTACCAAATGATGTGTTAATAAAGCTGTTTTTTGTTTTGCTGCAACCTTCACTGTTTTGTTTTTGTTTGGTTTATATCAAGTTTCAAATACAATCCTTTCCATCTGACCTGCATTGTTATGATGGAAATTAGAAAAGAAAAAAAAACTTTTATTCATTAGTTAAAGGCTTCAAATATGCAGGGCTTCTTTTTAAACTGAGAACAGAGGAACTCAATAAAAAAAAATAAATAAAAAAAACAGGAGCAAGAATATTTTTTCTTACCATCTTTTTTGCAGCTTTGAGGGAAAAAGAAATTTCCAGTATGTCTGGGGGAGTTTAGGTTATGAAAACTCATTACTTTTGATTATTACAGACCTCTTTATCTGAAGGGTTTTCTTACCTGGCAGGCCCAGCACCGTCTTGAACCTGCTGCACTGAACGGACCCCATCGCCGTGGCGGCACAGCTCATCCATAAGCCCTCAAACTGCCAGGAGCTGGTGGTGACCGTCTCCGCCTGACTCCTCACCTTCCACGTCTGAGAGGACGTACAGCTGGACTGCAGACACCAGGACACCACACCCAGGAACAGACCCAGAACCTGGAGGCACACCGCCATGCTGACTGACGTCCACACAGAGACACACACCTGGAAACAGGAAAACAAAGCCAGCTTCCAATGTGCTGCTGTTGTTTTCTGCAGTTTGCCTCAGGGTCTCCTTTCTGCTCTAAAATATATTGAACTTAAAATGAATGGTTTAAATTTGTTCAGAGTCATCTCCAAAACTCTGATCATTTCCAGCCGAAGGCGGCAGCTTCCCTGAGCCTGGTGGATAAATGCAAGCAGATGTTTTTCTCTTCCTATAGTTTTTACTAGCATGAGATGGATCCGGAGTGGAAACCTGTAATCTGTTCTAGAAAAGGTTACGATCATTACGAGAAGAAAGAAACCAGGTTCATGAATATCTTGTCAAATGTGACCTTTCATATCTTCTTCAGATAATTTCCACTGAAATGGGAACTTTTCTGGAATAATCCCAAAATCAGGAACATTTAGGGTTTAGATCTGTTAACTGATATCCTGTGTTGTAATAAGAAGCTCTGCTTTTCCCTCCAGATTTGAAGTTAAACATGTGAGGGTCTCATGGCTCCTGCTTCCCCCTGATCCCCTCACATCCTGGTTTTATGCTAATATGTTGGATTATTTCTTACCTTCTGCTCAGACTCTAAAGTCGGTTGATGGTCTTGGTTCTTTGAGGCGTTTGTGGGCGAATATGAAGCGCCTCTGAGCTGATCTGAGGTCTGCTGGTGTCCGAGGTCAATGAACTCTGGGAAAGGCTGAACACACAGACCAGTATCGACTCTCAGGGAACCCAGTTTCACCTCCCAAGCTCTCTGACTCACCCCTGATTTCAAATCTTAGCTACATAACCCATTTATTTTGTTAATATTCAGTTTTCCCAACGTTCTGGAGCCCAGTTAGACTTTTTCCTGAAGGTTTTTACTGAATATTTATTTACTGAAAGTTGTTTTCTATCAGTTCTATCTTCCACATCATCATTTATCAATGTTTTTATTACTTTGTTTTATTAAAATGAATTTTACTGTTATTTGGAACCCTGTTTGTTTTGTGTGTTTGTTTTGATGATGTCATTCTGGGGGTCTCCGCTGTTCCCCAGAGGCGGTTCTGGGAAGTGAGCAGGTTCTGGATGAGGACTGTGGACCCGCTTGGTGCTGCGGTCTCTAACGGTTGCTGGACTTCAGACTCTTGTTTATCGAACTGACTCCATGTTTACACGCTTACTCAGAGGTCTTCCACTGCTGAACGGGTTTCCTGCCATCTCCATGGAAACGTTCCCTCCGCTCCAAGCTCATCCCCTGGGTTTGGTGTTTGGTTTGGACCTCTTCAGCACCACTTTTCCTTGATTCAGTCCAAAAGAAGCTTCAAACTGCATCAAGCAGGAACTTGGATCTAATTGGGTCAATGCTTCGATCCATTGTAAAGGTGTTTAACCATCAGTTTGTTTGTCTGTTCCTGCAAAGAGAAAATGGGTTTAATCTAAGTCAAAAATATATTTCATTTGGTGTCTTTTCCCTTCATTTTAACAGTAAAGTAAAAGAATCTGCCAAAATAAGATGATAGAGATTACTGTTCATTATTTTAGGCCAACCTATCTTATTCTGTTTTACTAACTTTAAATTTACCAACCTACTAAAATCAAGTATAAATGCACTTATTTTAATAAGTCTATTTATTTTCAGTTCACTTTTTGTGGTGTGTTAAAGTCAGTGTCTTTCTGAAATGCAGTCTGTTTCCATCTCCACACCAGTACGTAGACTTTTCTTTCTTCATTCAGCCCCTCAGTTTTACAGACAAGCTTACATCCAAATTCACTCCTATTAGATGTTTGTCTGCAAACTGGAACCTGTCAGATATCAAATGTATGTAGAGGCCGGGCATACCCATAGTAGTCAGTTTCCAGCAGCAGCAGGAATGGACAATAATGGGAAATATGCAGTGATGAGTATGAATTCTGGGATAACTACATCTATCCGTTCTTTTTATACCACCCTGTGCTAACATTAAACTGATTAACTGTCAGATTTTTTTTCTCTTTATAGCTTAATTGATAGTTTTATTTATAATAGCAGTTTCCATGGTTCATGATGTGATTCTCTGATTTTTGTGCATTCAATTCAGTTCAGTTCAATTTACTTATATAGCGCCAATTCACAACACGTCATCTCAGGGCACTTTACAGAGACAGATCATACAATCAGATTGGTCCAGTTTTCTATCTCAGGAAAACCAGGAAATTGCATCGACTCATTGACTCTTCAGACATCCCTCACACTAAGCATGCTTGTAGCGACAGTGGGGAGGAAAAACAACCTTTTAACAGGAAGAAACCTCCAGATGAACCAGGTTAAGTGTGAGCCGTCTGCTGAGGCCGATTGGGGTTCAAGGAGACAGAAGCAGAGATACTAAAGGCAACTATAAATCAGCTCAACCAGTCCAGGGAACACACAATTAAACTGACAACCACTGAGATGTTTTTATGCAGAAAGGGATGACAGAGATCACATACAGTTAGTCACAGTAAAAGAAACAGGCTCTGCACTCCAACATCTGTATAAAAAGGTAGAGCAGCTGCCCAGCTGATATTTCTCCAGGATGATGTCACAACCAAACAGGAACAGATCAGATTAAGTTACCGGTACTATGACAAGAAAAAGTAGAGATAATGGGTGGAACTAACAAATATTTCAGAACAGGAGCAGAATGATGAAAAAGGGTCCCTATGTCCTCCAGCTGTCTAAGCCTATAGCAGCATAACTATAGAGATAGCTCAGGATAACCTGAGCCAAAGACTGTGAGTGCTGTTCCTTTAATTCCTACAAAATATTCAAGTCTTTCTAAAAGAATAATATGGTGTCACTGAGATCTCACAGGACAAGTACAGATACAAGTCCCTTATCTGCGGATAGGAGAATATCATTAGTGACTTTCACCAGAGCTGTTTTCAGTACCATGATGAGCTCTAAAATTGTTGTGTAACCAGTCACACACTTCTTTAGCTTTGTCGGAAAAATCTGTCTTATGACATCCCTTCTAATGTTTTCGTACAACTGCTGATTTTCATTTTATGTTTTAATTTAAGTATTCACATGCCTGCAAGGTTACACAGTATCTATGTCAGAGGGGTGGTTTTATTACAATTAGGGATTGTAAACAGAAGATAGTTTGTTCCCATCACAGCTCAGATTCATTTCTTTCAAGGTTTATTCAATATTTTACTGTTTTCTTACTTTAACTTGGTTTTGATTGACTATATGTGAAAAACCTTCACAGCTTTTAGCAGGCTTTAAGTACTTAAGGAAATCCTGGATGACCTCAATAGGCAGGAAAATTAGTAAAGACTGTACATATGTTTTCCCTTGCAAGGAATAATAAATCCAGGCATGAATGGGGGAAAAGAGCATCTTCATTTATTGTTAAATAAGATGTTTTTCCATCACCAGAAGCAACTATATTCTCAAAAATTTGAAATAAGAAAGGAAGATTAGATATAGGTTTATAATTGACCGAGTCATGTGGGTCAAGAGACAATTTCTTAAAGCAGGGGTCACCGATTAAAAATCAGTGGCATCCAAATAAAGAAAATAGAAAACCAGTAAAGGTCTGGAGACATTTTAAACTTTACTCACTGAAATAAAAAGAGGTGTTTATGCATCCATGTTATGCATTGACTTATTAAATAAAAGATAAATTAAAAAATAGAAAATGTTTCTATTTTAAAATCTAAAGTATTTTTTTTGTAGGAAACAACAATCGCTCAGTTTGGTATACAGACAATTTCCTGATTCACATATTTCATAAAATACCTGAACTGACCTTTTGTTTTTCATTTTTCTGGCTTAATGTTCGCAGTGGGCTTTATGCTGCCCTGCAAGGCTTTAAACCTGGGTTTGAATGGAGACTAAGCCATTCTAAAGCACATATAAAGGAGCTCATTTTGAGCCTGGATCCATATTTATTTTTTATTCTGTTCATGGTGGAGAATCCTGCTTCACAGCAGCAGGTTGAGCCAAACATCCTCTAAATGTTCAGGTTAATTTTTGAGCACACCATTTCACTTTTCTTCCAGCAGTCCACACTTTCTCTGCTCTCTTTTTCTCATCTTCTTTTCCTTCTTTCCCATCACCGGGCTTGCCACAGGTTTGCCTGCTGTGTCTAAAATTAGCAGCAGCAGCAACCCAGACTGACAGCAGCTCATTGGCTGATTTGTATCTCATATAGTCAGGTCCCGGATGTGCTGGAGGGCTTTACCGTACAAACAGGAGAAGCAGCGCAAGTGAAATTAGACACAGTGAAATTACATGCAGTAATTTATAAATGTTTTAAATCAGGTGGGTCCAGATCCGGACTGTGGTCCGCTAATCTGTGACCTCTGTTTATTAATCTAGTTAATTACAGCTACCTTAAATAAAAACATATCCCCGTAACAGAGATAAATTAATCACATCTTAAATGTTTAGGATTATTTTTATTGGTGTTGTGCGAGTCTGTTAAACTCTAATATTACCATGGATGTCTTCTCTTTTAGAAACATGTATGATGTGATGATGGGATGATGTGGCTTATTGGATTTGAATGAAGTGCATTTTTAACCGTGTCACATTACCGTGTTTATGTCACATCTGTTTTCATGTCTCATGGTTATTTAATAGATATACATTGTTATTTAAAGAGTTTGTCCTGAGCAGAGATGGGAAGTAACGAAGTACAAATACTTGGTTACTGTACTCAAGTAGATTTTTCTGATATTTTTACTTTACTACTTATTTTTATGGCGACTTTTTACTTCTACTTCTTACATTTTTACACAAATATCTGTACTTTCTACTCCTTACATTTTAAAAAATTGGCTCGTTACTTTAGTTTTGAATCATTTCAATGGAGTTACCGTTATTTTTCACGTCATCAATACCAAATTCAATCTAATTGGATGGGAATCTACGTTGCATTTGACGCACCACTACAAGATGAATCGACAGATTCGGCGGTATTCATTGGCGGCAAATCATTGCAGCTTGGTGGTGGTGGCGTTAGCATAGTAGCATGGACGACGAGATGATTGAAAATGAACACAACGGAGATCTAGTCCTATTGGCAGACATCCATTTAAAATGTAGGCAACGGCATGAAAAAAGTGGTTTCTACTTTTACACTTTAAGTAAATTTACAAGCCTGTACTTTGTTACTTTTACTTGAGTAAAGAAGTTTAATCAGTACTTCCACTTTTACCAGAGTATTTTTTAACACAAGTATCAGTACTTTTACTCAAGTACGGAAAGTGAGTACTTTTGCCATCTCTGGTCCTGAGTGATCTCTTCTCAGGAAAGAAAGCTTATAGGTGTAAACACAGAGCTTTCCTTAACAAAATGGAGGTGGAAACCAGAGCAAATAAATCCTTAAATAACTTGGAACTGGATCTAACACAAAGTTGAAGGTTTGGATGAAGCCATTACACCATCCAGGGGAACCACCAATGTTGACTCAGCAGTTTCTATCCATCAAGGTCAAAGCGAGAACCGAGCGATTGTGGTTTGAGTCACAGTCAAAACAACCGATAAAGGTAGAAAAGTTCTGGTAAAGCGGGCTGCTTCTCAAACCTTATTAAAAACCACTCAGTCAGAACACAGGGCGCCTTTTAGAATCATCCTTTAGATTTATTTGAAAGAAAATCAAAGATAAATAAAGAGCAGAAAAGCTGAGAAGACACAGAGCCTCTGACCAATCAGATCATTGGATCCATTTGCTCCTTCTGATCTCATTGGCTACTTTTTCTTTGGGTTT